ACACACACACACACAAACACGCATACATACATACAAACATACACACACACACACACACACAAGCATACATGTACATACAGACAAGATCGTCACAATATGCGTTTGTGCGGCGTGTTGCAGCGCTCTAGCGCTGCATGGCAAAAACGTATAAAAATAACTAATAAGCGTTAAGAAGCCAGAAATAACTCGTTTTAGCAAACTCGGTGTAAAAGTAGAAAGGCATGTCGTGCAATGCACTCAAGAGTGCTAAATTTCGAATATTTCGCTTATTCGCGTGGAACTGGTTGCACTGCTGAAAAATGCAGTGGATGAAATTCGAAGGAGAAGAAACTGAGCTGATATTTGAATTAGGAATTTGAATTTTTTATTGCTAGTGTCTTTTATACGAATACCTTGTTGTTAGCGTGATAGTTGTTTCGTCTTCTCGAGGAACTTTGAGCATTCTTTCCAAATTCTGTTTTAACTGATCTAATTCAAACGGCTGCCGTCCCGCAGCTGCTATAAAATAAAAAACCCCTCATCTGAAATGAATGTTTTTAAGATCAAATTTCATTAATCTGAAAAAGTCAGGGGACGTAATAGTTAAAATGCAGGATGTGATAATGAAGTACTTATTGGACGAGTTTCCGTTGAACGCTATCGATTGCAAAGAGCCGGACTTGATGGATGCGCACCCAATTCCAGACCATATCTATCTTTCCGAGCAAATCAAAGTGTGCCTAGAAGAGGGCGAATTTGAAATGACTCAGAACACCGATTTCCTCAGATATTTTGATATTAGCTTATACACAATGGATCTTTCCGTTTGGCCAAAGGCTATCAGGTAGACAGTTTTCTAAACAGAAAATTTACTTTAGGACACTGTTGGTACCATTAGTGATATATTACTGTTTGAAGCAAGCAGTTCAGGTCTCAGTTTTTCGAGTTGTTGAAAAGTTTTCAGTAAGTGTTGCACTTTTTTTATTCGGCCACTTTGCACCCCTAGCAGAGTTTAAATCTTGCGCCTTCTCGGCGAAACATTAGAATTCTTCACTTTTTGTCCTATATTGTTTTAAGCTTGAACGATTTGGTGCTTCCTCTTGCAAAAAGGACTCCTACATGCTTTTCGAGCATACCGATGAAATCCAGAAATTCTCATTTATGGTTTTTTATGCGTTTTTGCGTATATGCAAATGCAACCCAGGCTGGAACGCACCGGACGGGCCCGTGCGATCATGCGTTTTTGCACA